ATCACACACACAAAAAAAAAAAAAGTAAAAGAAAATGTCCAGGAGGTAGAAGAATACTAACAGGCTTTTAATGTCTAGATGGACGTATCTTCTATACATATGTACAAACCCCTTACAGAAACATATCTATCCCCACTTACGCTCTATTTGTCATCACATGTTTCTCACTTCTTCCTCATGCCCATAATTCTAGCCTGAACTACTTTGGTCCTCAAATTCTTTGAAGATGTTTACAGTTGAGAAAAACAATGACATACTCTTTGATTAAAGGAAGGTCCATAGATATGTTTTCCTTTATACTAATGTGATAGGTACTGAGCATACAGGCTGTTATAAGAAGGAGACAGATATTGGCACTCTACAGCTTCCCTTCACCTCTGGAGTATACACACATTTACAGTATAAATTTTGTGAGCTGACTACCAGATAATTAAATTTTATCTAAACGAAGCTCCTGCAAAAAGCAGGCAGTGATTCCTTGTAATTCTGTGGACCTCTCCGAATGCTGCTGGAATGTCTGCCCAACAATCCAATATATTGGCATTAGTGTACAGATAGAGGTCACTGTGAAAACCTTCTGACTGAAGGCACCTTTTCAGGATTCATATAATTCAGGATAATGGTCTGGCTGGCTACCTATGATATTTTGCTCTGCTTCACTAATGACAGGGGTCTTAAATAACCAGCTGGAGAAGGAAAGTTTAGATGGAATGATCATCAGAAGTTTTGATTTAGTTCCTCTTAATTCCTAGAGGGGCATAATCCTTTTCATAAGTCATATAAGTTTGATACTATGGCTCAAGTCAAAGGAAAGATGACCCTCATGGAAGCAAAGTACTCAACTAAGCACATGGTTCTGCTTTATAACGGAACCAGGAAGAACAAGAAGAAAGCGGAAGCTTTCTAGGTAGTAGTCCACCAAATAAATAAAACTCATATGAAAACAGATGTCAAAATCTTTCTGCTCACCTGTCCAACTGCCAAAAGACTGAAACAAATTCCTAACGTTCATGAAATTTTTGACTTTAGATGATGCAGGATATAGAGTTCAACCTACTATATTTCTTAGATAAGTGTACTCAGCAAAAGTCTCAAAACAAGTTCCTGTAGCAGACTACTGCCATATGAAATGCAGAAAAGAATTAGCTCAGCACGCATACCTCAGTGGTACAGCATGGTAAGGAAAGCATGGGACTCTGGTGCCAATTTAAGACTATGTGGTCCTGGAGTTTGATGACGAGCTGCCTTTTTGAGAATTATTGCAGGTCCTTTAAGACAACATACACTGTACATGGAACAGGATATAGAAAGAGAGCCTCTCTAATTGTTAACTCACAATGGAGGGGAAGTTTCACTCCAGGGCAGTGCTATAGGAAATGATACTAAAAGTTATGATTGTTAACATTTATTGATTACTTTCTAAGTACTAGGCACTTTGCCAAACACTTATAAGCATTACTTCATGAAATCCCTCCAATAGCTGTATAAATAAAGGCTATTATCTGAGTTTTACAGGTGAAGGAAGTGAGGTTTGAAATTAGGTTTAAAGACCTTAGGTAAATTGAGTAAGTTTGCATAGCCATTGAGTAATACAGCCAAGACTCAGAATTGGATTGTGTGCTTCCAGAGCCTAAGATCAGATGGTGTCAAAGAAGAATCAGTAGAACCCTGGTGGAATTTTTCTCAGACTCAAGCCTCCTGGAGAAAATCCTAATAATGAGGCTATTCATATGACTCTTTCAACTTATGAAGCTGGGAAACAGAGTCAAGGGAAGGAACGTGGCAGAGGAAATTGGCATCTGTTTCGTATACTTCACTCCTCTCGTAAGCACTGTTCACATTGGAAATGTAGGCTGGAAATGTATGCCTGTTTGGATTATATGAGTGCTAGTTCAAAATGATGCTTTGTTGTGTGGATATAGGGCATACAATAAGCTAAATAGTATCCATTTTTTCCTCTACCAATTACAAGTGTGGTAAATCACTGCCTTAGAAGGTCAGTGATTCTCAAATGTTAGGGCTCCTCAGAATCCCCTGGAGGATCTGTAAAAACAAAGATTATTAGGCCTCAACCCAGAGCTTCTGATTTAGTACATCTGTGCTGGAGTTTGAAAATTTGCATCTCTAGTGAATCCTAATTTGAATTCTAATGTGTTGATTATGTAGTTTGGATATGTATTCCCTCTAAATCTCATGTTGAACTGTAACCCTCAGTGTTGGAGATGAACCCTGGTGGAAGGTGACTGGATCACGAGGGTGGATTTCTAAAGAATGGTTTAATATCCTCTTGGTGCTGTCCTGGTGATAGTTGTTATAAAGTGTGGTACCTCCTCCCTACTCTCTTTCTTGCTCCTGTTTTTGCCATGCAAAGTGCTGGCTCCCACTTCACCTTCCACCATGAGTTAAAACCTTCTGAGGCCTTCCCAGAAGCAGATGGTGGCGCTATGCTTCCTGTACAGCCCGCAGAACCATGAGATTCAACCTCTTTTCTTATAAATTACCTACTCTTAGGTATAGCAAGGCAAGGATGGGCTAATATAGCTGGTGTCCTCTTACTGTCCTTTATAGTATACACAGATTCACAATCTGGATTTTATAACTGACTCTGAGATGATGCCGTTTTCTCTGGATGAAGCTCCTGAGAAAAGCAAGTCATGCTGCTGCTGCTGCTGCTGCTGCTCCTCCTGGGATCACACTTTCAAAACCATTGTTCTAAATTAGAGATTTTCAACTAAACTTGCACATGAGAATTGTTGTATACATTTTTTTTTAAATGCTGATGCTTGAAGTGTACTACTCCAGACCAATGAAATCAAAATATCCAAGGGTGAAGTTCAGGCATCAATATTGCTAAACTCCTCTCCCATCATCCACTGATTAATCTAATGTACAACATGAATTGAGATCACAGAGAATAAGTTTGTTTATGTATCAGTGACAGAAAATTAAGAGTATGTCTCTGCTAAGACTTGACTCTGAAATACCTATAAATTACTAAAGGAATTTAAGGAATACTGAAGTAATGAGGTCTTGATATCAAGTCATTACAAAATTTTTATCTCTTACTAATATAGATGACAGCTGATACAACAGGCTTGCTTTTCTTCGATGACATGTTACAGTGGACTTTTAAATAGGCAATGCAGTTCTTGTTTCTTTGATAGAGAAGAGACAGGTTACAGAAGTTTGATGAATAATCTAAATTGTTCTGGCCATATCTGGAATGGTATATTATGTATGCATGTGTGTGTGTGCCTGTGTGCATGTGTGTAAAACACATAGAAAGCAATGGCATGCACTTCTTAATGCCCATAGCAAAGCTGATTAGTTGCTTATTATAGCTGTTGCCTCTTTACCTCAGGAAGGTTTCTGTTATTGATATTGTCAATTTGTTGTTATCAATTCCAGCAGTTTCACTTTTACTTTATTCTGCTTAAAAATATATATATTTCCCTTACAATTTTGGTTTACCCAACATTTCTAAACATCCTCTTTGGTATATATATATGCATTCATTACTTAATTCAATCATTCAACATATAAACTGGAAAAATCCTAAAAATCTATTAAGGGCTCAGGAAATATATGTGTCGAGTTCATGCAGAATAGTTTCCTTCCTTCAATTCCCAAATGTTTGAATTAAACCCATTTCTATTCTTGACTCCGACTAACATTTATTGGTATTTAGTGCCAGACCCTAGCACTATGTTCTAGGCAATGTGGAACTAACAGTGAAGAAGATAGCAAAACCCTCACTCTCATGGAGTATATATTCTGTTGAAGAAAGAAAGAATAAACAAATAATAGGTAAAAATTAATAATTAAATGAGTTGATGTGAGAGAGTGTAACAGGACTTACTTTAAACTGAGTTGTCCAGGAAGATTCATTAAGGAGGTAAAATTTATGCTGAGACCTCAATGACAAGAGGGAGCCAGTCATGCCCAGGGAAAAAGCCAGGAAAACAGCTTTACAGGCAGAGAAAAAAACTAAGGTAAAGGAAGGACCTGAGATGGATCTGAGTGTGTCTTGTTCCAAAAACAGAAGACAATGGGGTGGACTACAGAGCACAAAGTGAAAAATGGTACAAGAATTTTGAATATATATGAAGCCTGAGATGCCTGTTGGACACCCAAGAGGAGGTATCAAATAGGCAAGTGCTTCTCAAAGTTAATTTGCATATGAGTCATATGAGGATCTTGTTTAAAATGCAAACTGTGATGCAGTGGATATGGAGTGAAGTCCCAGATTCTGTTTCTCAAAAGGTCCCAGGGGATGATCCTGCTGGTGTTGGACCACCTGTTGAGTTGTAAGGATGGAGGCAACTGTACATTTGTGTCTGCAGTCAAACGTAAAGAAGAGAAGGAAGAGGCCAAAAAATAAATAAGGTGGAGAAAAGAAAACCAAAAAAGAAACTTTTTTAAATCGTCAAAGAGATTTAGGTGGTTTGTGTGGAGAAAGGATACCAAATACCTACAGCAAGCTTTCTCATACTAAATGTGATTCAGTAGCATCAAGGTATTCATGGAAGTGACTCAGTACACTGACATGGAAGATATGTAACTGTGCTCTAGACTGTACTTGGAGTTTCTGACTACTTGCTCTGCCTTTCAAAGTCCATGGTTTCCATTTCAAAACAGCAATGCTTTCCCCTTAGTTGTTACTATAAGCAGTTTGTAACAAGAGACGCTTATCCAAATATCTCAAATTAAGAACTGCATAGCTTTGTAAGAGATAGGAAGTCAGTCTCCTCAGAATATGGGGTACATATCCAGCTGTACGTGCTAATTGGAGCTGTCCCATTACTGCCAGTGTGCAGGGTCATGTGCTTCATGAAGAGAGATGCACAGGGAGATGTAACTGAAAAAGATTCATAACCAGCTTTGATTTTTGTCTGCTCCCTGCATTTCCCCCAACCCCCAAACATTAACCCCAAAACAGAAAATTGCTCTTAGTATTCCTGCTCCAGAACCATGCAACATAGTTATAATCAGTACTTCTCTTACTTTCTTGAACTTATTTTTATTTCAATGGTTTTAATGAATATTTCCTAGAAAGTTCACAACACTCATTTTTATGTTTCAATTCATATTCAAACTTACTCAAAGATAATATCACCTGGTATTATTAGAGAAGTCTAAATAAATACTAGAACTGACATTTCAGATCCATGTGTAATAATACTACCCCCATAAAATTTGCATAGGTTACAGAAATGTTTATCTTGAATAGTCCTCCTGCTCCTCATCTCTGTCTTTGATATATTACATCTTTCAATTTCTGGCAATCAATTTTAGGACAATAGACAACATTTCAGTCACTTCAACTTTTAAAATAACCACTAAAAATACACCAAAAAATCATGTGATGTAATCAAAGCACCATGAATCAAAGGAAAATCGGTATTTCATTAACCAAAAATTATCTTAATATTCTTAGGATCACAACGATATTTCCTTGGGCAAATTGAAAGTGATCTGAAAATTATAAGGGTAGATGATGATATATGTATCAACCTATTCTTATCATTGCAATTTAGACATCAGGACCAAAATAATAGCCTACAATTTCTCAATAGCTGAGTAACTCCATGCTGGTTTTTACTATAACTGATGATAGGTAAAGTATGGTAAACTGGATGCATGTAACAAACATGGGAGGTCGTAATATGTTTCCAGGATATGGCATCTTGCCATTGGCCACAGCCTCTTGGAACCAGATAAAGTCACTGAAATAGTTAACAGATGTTAGCCATACTCGAAATATAAAAGTTCTATTGCTAAAATTATGTAGGGTCAGATGGAGATTTGGCTTTTGGTCCATAACTTAACTGACTTGGCAAATGAACAGTTGAGATCCAGAGGCATAATGCATAATATTGAGGCCACACACTCTGCATACTATGCAGGAGCTCATAAACTACTGACGGTATGTACACTGTGTTAAGCCTGCCTGATTAAGTATTAACACAGTATTTGATACTTGGGGAAATATGAACTCAATTTTCCCATCTAAATTAAAAAGTTATTTCTACAAGAGCAAAAGAGACTTTTTTCCAAGTTCAAAATAGGACAAGTTTTATTGTTTATCCTCAGCTTGCAATTTACCTGATGACTGATACTGCTTTTTGTTGACTTAATCTATCCAGTTATAATCTTTTTGAAAAGGATCTCTTTTTTCCCACTCTTGCCTATTACTTCACATATCAGAGCAAGTTGACACTAATGATTTTCAGATGAGTACTGTAGCTGAAATTGATCTTCTCAACCGTAGATCATAAATCCATTCAAGTCAAGCATTGAAGGAGGCTTGTGCTACTTTAGAGTTTGTGGTTTTATTCACAGCTTTGCAAATAAAGTCACCAGCTTCCATCACTTTGTATAGATTCACACCCTGGTGAGGGAGAGAAGGAATATCAGGAAGGCAGAGGGATTAGAGAGAAAAAAGATAAAACATAGCCTTTTAAATTTTAGTAGTAGTTACTTAACCATTTAAAATTACTAAACAAAGTGGTGGTGGTCATTATCAATTTGGGGGCAACATTTGTTTTCATGAATAATGTTAACATTTTAGATTTTTCTGCTTTATTTCAGCATATCTTGAATCTGACCCTTGTATAATAATATAGGTAGACACACTTGAAAAAGTCGTAATTCAGGCTGGTATCTAGAGTCTAGGAAGGGCAATAATGGAACTACAAAAACAGTCTACAAAGCATCAGTGAAGGACAATCAAAATGATAATGTTTTGGAGCAGTTTACAGATAAGAACTGACTTAGAAAAAAGACTATCCTCTTTATGAAGAAACAAACTTGAAAAAGCCATAAGGATTACGGAAAAGGTGAATGCATATATATACATATATATTTTTTAAACCAAGTTCAGAAACACTAGTATGATATTGAAGGAGGTAGTTGCAAGTGAAATAAAATGAAGTAGTATTTAGTACACATCTGGAATTTATTCGCCTGAGAGGTTGTACTGTCTGAAAGTACAAATAGGATCAACAAAGGCTTAGGTAAATCCATGGATGACAGATATGCAGTTGGGTATAAAGGCCAAATTCAGGGCATGCCTTTGGCTTTGGTGTAATGAAAGCGTCACTATCAATGTCTCCACCCAGCACTTTCGTTGTTACAGGAGGAGGCAAAGCATTAGGTGGATTAAGCACAAACTTGTCCTTACATGGCATTTCATAAGCTTCTATGTTCTCTCTCAATATGGACTAGAAACAATGTGGGATTAAAGTTGAAAATACTCAGTTTTCCTTGCTATTATAAAGTACTTTTTAATATCTATGAAAACCTGTGACTTTCATAAAATAGGCAAGTATAAAAACTCATAGGGGCTTTTCATAACAATATCATTTTAGAAATTGGAGATATTTCAATAGAGCCCATTACTTATCTCTTTAAGAATTAAAAATATTTTTTAAAATGATACTTGTAAATGTCTTTTTTTTTATTATAAAGTTGTTTTCAGGATACTAACATTTGCTTTGGTTTGAGAAATTTGGTTTTCTTGTGGTAATGGCTTTACGTGGGTATCTATTTAACATCCTTAATCCAATGATACTTAAATTCTGTAAACAATTAACTTCGGATGCCTTTCACTTATAAATTATATCCAGCAAGTGTTGATAGAAACATTTTAGCCATTAATGTTTTTCTTCTCTTTTCAGTAATTCCATTTGTAACATACAGTAGAATTTGCTGATATCACACCAAAGAAGAATTTTGTTTTGACTTTTCTCTACCATTTTATTTAATCAGTAGATATCATTATGAAAACAACACTGCATGTATTCTTAAATCATTTATCAGGTGCTTAATATGTCTCATGTACTATGATAGATTCTGGAGTTTCAAGAACCTCACATAGAATGTGGTTTCTGCCTTTAAGGTCAAGCAAGCAATGTAGACTCACAACAGAAAATTCTGTACCATAGTTAAAGCCACAAATAGAGATATGCCCAGGTTATTATGGAGGCAGAGGTGTGAGGCCACCAACCAACCAAGGAAAAAAAAAGCAGAAAGGAATGTGTCAGGGAAAAGTGCCAAGAAGGGTGAAGCCTGATTCGAGGTTTATACAAAATGTATAGAAGAGGATGGAGGATGTATGGGTCACTGTATGTAGGCAGACAGACGAGCAGTTCAAGATATCTTAAATATCCATGGTGCATATGGATAAAGGTAAAATATACCATTAACCCTGGAAAAGGTAATAATAGGCCAGATTATGTGATAGAGCACAGGCTTGCTTTCAGGAAATTAGAATCCACTGATCAGTGCTCAAGCAGAAGTAGAGCCTATTCATACTTATATGTTAGGTGTAATCCTTTGATGGTAGCATGGAGGATGGATTTAAAGGCAAGTCTAGAGCCAGCAACCAGTATAGAGGATGAACACCCAGGAAAGAGATGTGCAGACCTGCATCAATGTAGTCATAGCAGAGGTAGTAAGGAAGGGACAAACAACCAAAATATTTTAAAGTCAAATTAGCAGCTTTGGTAACTGATTGGACATGGAATCCATAGTGAGATTAAATTCTATAGAGAATCTTGGTTTGTTAGCTTGGGTGACTAGTTGAATTGTGGAAGCTACTCAATGTGGCAATTCTTGGATGGTAAAACTTTTAGGAATAGACTTGACTTATTTGCATCTGGACTCTGGAGTTATGGAACATAACTAGCATATATGAAGCATCAGCTATCAGCTATGGAGTTCAATTCAGTCATCTAAATTTCTAAGAAAGAAGCTATTTATGCTCATTTTATGTCATTAGCTTCTGATATAAATGATTAAGATATGATATAAATGAAATAACATTTATTTCTAACCAGAGAAAATAGGCAATAGCTTTTGGTGTTTATGGGTAACAGCTGTTGGTGTTTAGTGCCAAGTGAAATCAGTCTTTCAATAAATATTTATGGAGCATCTTTATGCCACAGGCACCAAGTATAAAGTATGAATAAGCTGTCATAATTGCTCTGTGGTTGCATGGGAAGCTAGACACATAAACAAGATAATTATATAACCTTGTGGTAAGTTCAGAGGGAATGCAGAGGAAAACATGAAAATACTAAGGAATGGGATCTAACAGTTTGACTTGGGGGATAGACAGGGAGATGCTAGACGGCTTATTTTTAGGATGGTGGTGTCTTACTTTCCAGGCCAAATGGAATACAAGGCATAAGGCCATTTCATGTGGTAGTGAAAACCTGAGCAAGGGGTAGAAGTGAGGAATAAAATGGTATAGAAGTGTAGACCAGAAGCAAGTTCAATGCAGCAGGAGCATCAATGTAAGTAGAGTGAGGAAAAAGGAGGAATAGGAGCAGCAGAGAGTAAAAAAATTTGTTTTACAATACAGGTGATTATTTTACATCGCAGAAAGAAATTCTAAATGACTAATCATCTGTGATTTTTATTTTTTTCCTAAATAAATCTGTTCTATAGACTAACAGGTTGTGTTAACAATCACAGGGCAAAACAAGGTGCTGAATTTGTTGGATGTGGTTACATAGCACGTGACTTTTCAGGTACGACTTGCAAAGAGACTATTCTTGCTATCCAGTGTCTCACATGCTAAGTATTACGAAGCTCCCCTCTTTCACTGATCATTTAAAAAGTGCCCTGGGAGTTCTTCCAGAAGCTGTAGTTGTCACTGTGAGACAATCAAGATCTCAGTTTTCTCCAAGAAAAACATTCATGCAAAAAACAAAACTGCAAAACTCAACAATCGTAACAGCAAAGACACAGGCTCCAACTCACAAAGTGTATAAAATCAAATCAGATAATACATGAAAAAGTACTTTAGAGGTCATGAAGCACTATAAAAATGTGACTTGGTAGCATTATTGGTGATTGAGCTATAGCAATGAGTTACTTTATAAAGACCCCAAAAGAATTTTTATTGCATTTTTCCCACTGTGCATTTTAGCAAATAGCAAAAGTGTAGTAAAACTTTGACCTCAAAATTGCTTCCCACATCTGAGAAGTGTTGCAATTTGGAGCTGCAAGGAATGCATGAATATTAAAATATGTTAAAGTAACTTACTGTATTGAGCCCCAGGCCATTAAGCATATATATCAAATCCTCAGTGGCTACATTCCCAGAAGCACCTTTTGCATAAGGGCAGCCGCCTAATCCGGATACTGCAGAGTCCACCACATTGATTCCCATCTGGAAAACAAAGCAAACCACCTAAAGCTTGTGTGTTTATGGCATGTAAATTGTTGCATTTCGATTTAACCTGTGGTAAAGAGCAAATAAGCAAAATCTGAACTGGTTATTCAAACATATTCACTTACCCACTGTCCTCTAGAACAGTCCCCGGGGTGCTTATTTCTTTTATAGCTAATTTTGTCTTTGAGGCTAACAGAAACTCTGCTAAGGCTCTCTGAAACTAGAATAATCTTTGATCAAAAGTAAAATGGTGTTGTTCGTTGGTAGCAGCTCAACTGTATGTGGTGAAGCTTAGAGTAAGGTTAATTTACTCCAGACTTTCACATATTATCCAGTTCTCTAGCTTTATTCTAAAAGCATTTTATAAGCAACATGAAATATTTTCAACATTCTAATTCAACATCAAAATGCCTTAGATGACTGGTAGGTGTAGGGCGGGGGAGGGAGAAGTCACTGGGTTTGAAGTAGTATTTTGTGGGCTCACTTTACCCGTTCAACTCACCCAGTATTTATTGAGACATTCATTGTTTTGCACACAAAACTCCACTGCTTTGGGAGAAGGAAGAAATATTTAAGAGACAAAACACTTGCCACCAGCAGTAACACCAGCTTACATTTTTTGGTTCCTCACTAAGTGCTGGATGCTGTTATTAACAAATTATGTGTATTAATTCACAGTTCTCCCCAAAACCCATGA